GTAACGAGTGAAATTTACATTCTTAGTTGTGACAAAAAAGAATCAAAGTCTTGAAGAGCTAAGGACAACTTAAAATACATATTAGCAGTGTAACAGAAAAGAACAAAACAACAAAAGCTGTCTTTAGTTGGAAATAATGATATGGTTAATTGTGGTACAGCACATTAGAGCCACATTATAGTTTCTGAAAATTGATTAGAAAATATAGGTAATAATTTAAGAAGATGCCATAGTTAACAGTTTACAGGCTTAAATATACAATTGAAGCAAGTTCTAGAAAACTTGGTTATAATAAAATATCTAATGCTCTAGAGAGGGCTGCTGATACTGTGATGATCTTTTTAAGGAGCTCCATGGCTAAGTTAAATGACAACTCTGTTTTGTCTTTGCAACTACAGAAAAGCATTTAGTTGTGCATAATTGGGTTTACTCTTTGAGTAGTACTCTAGGAGTACTTCTGAAAACTATCACTAATAAACAGGACAACATGTTTGAATTCAGTCTTACATACACTTAATGCAGAGGTGTTTGATTGTGTATATCCAGTAGCTATACAAGAAAACTGGTACCATTATAGTCTTGGTTGGTATCAATGACTCATGTCAACTGATTAATTTGTGGGCATGTGTGCTTGTTTTCTGTTGGTCTTTGCGTTGTTTATGATGAGGCTAGAACTTTAGGTATTTTATTTGGTATCAGGTAATTTAGCTGATTGCTACAGGTATGGGTTAGGAAGGTAAGGTTTTAGTAGCTTGATGGCCTTTCAAGCTATTTTAATTCAATACTGGACTCACAAACTTATTCCTCTGTTTAGAGGGGCAGATGGTACTCAACACTTCTGATGAAAAAAAATAATTTTACAGTTATCAGATTTGTATGTGGAAAACAATTTTTCTTCCCAACTTGAACTACCACTGAACCACCACAGCACTGAGTTATACAGGACCTTTACAGCTGTTGTCACAATCATATATATTCTAATATGATTTTTTTTAATATTGACTGGCTAGTTGAGAAAAGCCGATGGCTCACCTGTGACACAAAAAGAGCAGAAGCTATCAGAGATTTCTACTGGATTCAGCCCATCATTCTTTAGCAACCCCCTTTTTATTTAGCATTAATATTGTGCAAGATGAACTTGAATCCAGAATTGTGTGTGTCCCTTTGCTTGGCTAAATTATAAGTTTTCTCCTCTGAAAAAATATGAATAAAATAATTATTTTATTTTTTAACAAATCTATAATGGATGAATTAAGATTGTTTTCAGGCAGTTTATTTGTGATGGTGGTTCTTCAGGTGTATGAGCAAGTGCAAAGTCCTCCTTTCAGTTACGATCTGTGCAGTGGTAGTCATCATTTTGATTGCTCGGGCCAAAAAAAGAATTGCTAATGTTCCAAAGGGTTCTGCACACCAAGAGGACAGAACAGGGCTGTAACTATAATTGGATGATTCCTTGTCATCACAGCTACAGGCAGTGTAGAAAGGATTGACTGATCACTTACTGAGAGGTGATGGTTGTGTCACTTTTTGGAATGGTCTTCTTGCAAATCTTTAGGGGGCTGTTGCTTGAGGTAGATGGCACACACTGGTCTTGGGCACTCACTCCACTACATCTGTGGCTCAAGCAGACTGTGGAGCTCTAAACAAACATGTTTTTTAAAGGCTTTGAGAGTCCAGACTTCTTGCCAGCTGACATTACAGAGGATCCGCTGAAGATTGCTAAAATTGTGTATACCTGTCTCAACTGTGTAGAAACTCATAACTTAATGACTTCAAGTAGTTAGCTTTGTCGTATTGAACCACAGCTGTTGCCTGGGGTTTATGGTTCTTCATCAGTTCTAAGTAGTATCCAACTGTGCAGTCATTTTGTAGAATATTCCCTAGACTAAATTATTATTTCACTTCATCTCTGATCAAACTCAAACTATGTAGTTTGCTTTACATGTTGTATGCTTCTATGTTATGTGAAGAGTTGTATTCTCAGGTTGAATTGGCTTATATCCATCCCAGGTGTGAGTTCTCCATAACTGTAGCAATCGTGGAGTATGCATTACTTCTCTACACTAAGTACACTGCTGAAAGAATTCACCGTGCACTTAAAAATGCAGCAATATAGGCTCATTTCTGCTAAAAATTTACTTGAAAATTTGATAGACAATCAGAAACAAAGAAAGTAGCCTCATACTTAAAGCTATATTAAAATATAAGCCTATAATAATAAGATAAAAATTCATCAGAACTAATCGAATATTAGAAAAGATCTTCAATGAAGACCTGAAACTTCACCTCTTAATCAGTGATCAAGAGTGTGATGGTTCAAAAAGAAGCTTCAGCTAACTACTCATGTGAGCTGCTGCTCATCAGTAGATGTAACAGACTTTCAAACTCACCTTAGAGCTCTGGGAACTTGGAAAGCTTAAGTTTTATTCACATAGTGTCTTTTAAATCTCTTAAGTTTACTAGGTTACTTTTACTCTCTTTGCAAAAGTATGCTTATGTGCATTCTGGGGAAGGATGTCTATGAGTGACCATTTAAGGGCTGGGGTTTGGGGATTTTTTTTTAGTAGTAGAAAGCTTGTCCAAACTTGGGACAATGGTCAAGAAGTTTAAAATCTGAACATTTTTCTGGAAAGAAGTATTTTTAAAATAAAGATTGAAACAAAGTGAAGACTTCCTTAGAAGTTATAGGCTTTTGGGTTTTTTCCCCAGGTTCCTGTTCTTTCTTCAGGAAAGTACCAAAGCGGTAAATAGGGCTCCAAGGTAGTGAGATGCACCAGTTGAATGTGTAGCCACCTTATTCATAGTGTGCATTCAGAGGAACAGTGAAGTCTGTGATCTTTTCAGAAATAAAAAGCCAAAAACTTATACATACATTCCTCTGGGCTGTAACCTTTATTTAGTATTCTTCTAGAGGAGACTTAAAGAATCCAAACATGCATTTTGTGGTTTTGTTCTGGTTTTAATTTTTTTAAGGTTTTTTTTCTCAACCCAACGTTATTAGAAGTCAGACTCCATTGTTTTTCAGTCTTGCTTAGTTGGTAAAAAGTATTTGAGCACATGATACAGAAATTATCTAGGATTTGCCATAGAAGCTCAAAAAACCCTGAAAATTCTGACTGGTTGTCCCATATTAATTGCTTATCTTTCCAAGCTGCAGAGGAGGACATATGAATGCATATGATTCTCCTGATACTTTTTCTCCAGTTTCACCTGTATGTACTTCATGATATGTTGGATATACAATGAGAAACAGTTAAAACATGGATTTATTTTTTGTATCTGGATACAGGTTACTTAAATGCACAAACTGGTACTTTCTTTACTCTCATAAACATCGAGTTTGGTATGTAACGGTCTAGTTGCATTTATAGAACTAAGGAAAATAAACAGTCTTGTAGGGCTTGCAAGATGATGGATGCTCTAATCCAGTGGAAATTTTAACTGCTGCTAAATTGGTGACAATGAGTTTAGTCAGTGCTTTAGTTGGATTTTTCATTGTGAAGCCTTTCCTGCATTGTGTTTGTGCTCTGGAGGACTGAGTTCTTTTAAGTTGACACTGAAATAGTTTATAATGGAAAAATGGCTTTGACTCTGCAGTCAACAGGCTGTGTGTCAGTCTTCATGTTACTATTGCTTTCCTAGCATGATTTTTTGTCTCATGTTAAGATTTCAAGAGACTGAAAAATTATGAGTTCATCTGTAGACTCGCTCACCTAACCACCTCCAGTACAATGAAGCTAAAGCTAATTTCCAGTTATTCCTAATAGTTCCATGAGGTTCTGTGGGGAATACAGCTTGGTGCATTTCCTACTTCAAAAATTATATATTAATGGTCAAGTGTGGAAATGGTAGATCTGTTGTTATTCAAGAGGGGGCTGTAGTTTGTCAGCATATTTTTATGTCAAGCATATTTTGTATACTGCATGGAGATGTATTGCAGAAAAAATAAACCTGCTTTACACGTGCATAGTATTCAGTGACATTACATAGATGCTACTGTGCCATGTAAGGTCTTTAGCATTACTGTATGTATGTTCCAGTTTTATTCAACCTAATGCTAACCCTGTTTGGAATACTAGGCACTCAATCTGGTAGGTTAATCTTTTTGTTTATTATGTTTTATGATGGTACAGAGTAACAAGTTTTAAATTAAAAGCATTATAAACAACCAGATTAGAAATTGCTTCAGATGTTGTGGAGAATAAAATAGCCCAAAGTTATTCTTTGTAATTAATTAGCAAAGTTTTGTACTGAATACCTCCATTACCAATTTCAAGTGGGAAAAATTAGATTGTGTACTTTTAAACATGTTTATGAAGGCTTCTTACACTCTAAACCCATACTTTAGTAGTGGTGCATTTCCCGAATGCATTAGTGTTATTTAGAAGGTATTTTTTTATTGTTACAAACTAAAAAACAAGTTTGCATGCAATTTACAGTTGGCACATAGCATTTATTGCTGTTGTGTGTATATTACTTTTTGCTATTTACAATGCATACTAATGAAACACTTCAAGATGAACCAGGTATTCTGGTGTGTCTGGGCATAAATACATGTTTGTATGTTCTTACTCTGTTGATTCACACTTAATATTTGGTACTGCTTTAGGGCTATTTCTAGTTATTTCAGGGAATGTAGGGTTTTGCATCCAAATGCTGTACGTTTTTCAGGATGGTGCTAGTCTCACAGTTATTTTGTAATAAAATCCCTCTGAAATAACACTTTTTAAATTAAAGTGACAACTTGAGAAAGATTTAACAGGGAAAGAAGGCACTGCATTTGCTGACACTGAAATGGTATTAATGCATGTAAAGTGTGCTGCAAGTGCATAGCTCTTTTCTAACCTGCAGGGTATCACTCTTCAGATGTTATTTTAAAAATATGTTTATTAACTTGTTCAGATATAACTTAAAAAGTTGTTGTTAAAGGCATGCATCCAGAGACATGCACACAATGATTTCAAAGTGTCAATGTTTCAGGGAATCTAAATTATTTTCAGAATTTCAGAAATTGAGAAGGGATAAGTGGAAGGAGAAAATGTTGGGCTGGTGCCAAGCGATAGCTCGTAACCCTCACAGACTTCCAAACAGCACAAGAACACCCGAGGTCTCAGGTGATGCTTCACATAACTCTTCTTTGGTGAGTGAAAAGTTGCATTTCATGATGGTGGCATGCTCAGATGAACTTCAGAGGTGTTACATTTAATTTATTTTAAAAATTGTACTGTTTGCCATTGCTTGCATTGCCTCAGTGTGTGAAACCCTTTGATATTATAGGTATTTACTCTTTCCATTTGCTTTTTTTTCACGTGTTTTGTTATGCATGGTCCATTCTGACTTGCATGCTGTCTATAAATCAATATTGGTGTTTTGTGAATGGTAAAGTCTTTAAGCAGGAGATGACCTAATATGGATTACTTACATTCTTTGTGATTTTAATCAGTGCTATGGCATTTGATCCCTGATGAATACAGATGGACGATATCTAAAGGTACCTCATTTGCTCTTTGTTCCTGGCTGTAACAGGGACAAAGTACATTATGTCTAAACTTGTGTTAGACGGCTGGATTTTAAAATTATTTTCATATCTTAAACATGGTGTTGCAAGTGATGGTTGAGACAGCATGCAGAGCTAGTGACAGTAGATGTTCAGGCAATGTAAAGCTGACAGTTTACATAGCGGAGTTAATGTGAATCATATGAAATTCAGTAAAGTTACTCATTGATAAGAATTTTAACCCTGCAGTTTTTGCTCATTAAAATAAAACCACTTGCATCAGTAGACCTCCGCAGGTGAGTAAGAACTGATACTTGTATGTAAAGGCTTCAAACTGCCCTGCATCTAAGAGAAAAAAATTGTTTACTTGTTTTAATTCAACTGACTTTTTCATACTACAGCAAGACTGATTATTTGAAACATATTCAGTTAAATATGCCTGCTCCAATTTGATTAGTAAGTGTAAAATAGGCACTATATTTTTCTATCCTAAGAAACATGAGTGATCAGGAAGTACTACCCTCCAATTGTTGAAACATGACCAGGATGACATCTAAGCTGAAAGGTGAATAATTATTCCTAACTACTGATGAAGTGTGGTATTCCAAAGAGTGGTCTGCTTGAAAGTTGTTGAAGTTTTGGTGAAAAAAAGCCCATACTTAATGTGGCAAAATTATTGCATTCAATGATGAATTATATAGAATGTAAGTTTCTGCTACAGAAGAGAACACAAAAAGGCAGCATTAAAAGTGGAAGATTTTATAATTTACTGTATATCCTAGATTGTTAGTATAGCTCACTTTCATCTAGAATACTTTAAGAGAAAGGTTCACCTGAAAGACAACGCAGTCATTGGTCACAGCCAACATGGCCTTCATGAGGGAAAAGTCCTGCTTATCCAACCTGATTCCTTTTTATGACAAGGTAACCCACCTAGCTGATCAAGGGAAGCCAGTTGCTGTAATCTTTTTGGATTTCAGTAAAGCTTTTGATACTGTCTCTCACAGGATCCTTCTGGACAAACTGTCCAGCACACAGCTGGATAAACACATCATGTGGTGGGTGAGCAATTGGCTCACGGGTCGAGCACAGAGGGTAATAGTGAATGGGGTGACATCAGACTGGTGACCTGTCACTAGTTGGGTTCCACAGGGCTTCATCTTGGGCCCTATGTTCTTGAACATCTTCATAAATGACACAGGACTGGAAGGGATAGTTTGCAGATGACACAAAACTGGGAGGTGTTGACTCCCTTGAAGACAGGGAGGCCCTGCAGAGAGATCTCAACAAATTACAGGACTGGGCAATCACCAACCATATGAAGTTCTACAAGAGGAAGTGCCAAATTCCGCACCTGGGGTGGGGCAGGTCTGGATGTACCTACAGACTGGAAAATAAGATGTTGGAAAGCAGTGCTATGGAAAGGGACCTGTGGGTCCTGGTCAGTGGGAAGTTGAATATGAGTCAGCAGTGCCCTGGCAGCCAGGAGGGCCAACTGTGTCCTGGGGGGCATCAGGCAAAGCATCACCAGTCGATCAAAGGAGGGGATTGTCCCGCTCTGCTCTGCACTGGTGTGGCCTCACCTTGAATATTGTGCAGTTTTGGGGCACCACAATATAAGAAAGATATTCAACTCTTAGAAGGTGTCCAAAGGAGGGCAACAAAGATGGTGAAGGGCCTTGAGGGGAAGCCATAGAAGGAGCCCTCTTACTGAGGGGAAGAAGAGGGCAGGCACTGATCTCTTCTCTGTGGTGATCAGTGACAGGACCCAAGGAAATGGCCTGAAGTTTTGTCAGTGGAGGTTCAGGTTGCCAATTAGAAAGAGGTTCTTCACCCAGAGGGTGGTTGGGCACTGGAACAGGCTCCCCAGGGAAGTGGTCACAGCACCAAGCCTGACAGAGTTCAAGAAGTGTTTGGACAGTGCTCTCAGGCACATGGTTTGACTCTTGGGGATGGTCCTGTGCTGGGCTAAGAGTTGGACCTGATGGTTCTTGTGGATCCCTTCCAACTTGGCATATCCTGTCATTCTGTAAAATTAAAAAGCAGTAATTCTATGAAAAGAGAAATTTCATGTACATTATACCCACATTTAATTACTATTACAATTTTAGTTTCACATTTAATTACTTTTACTATTTAGGTATTACTAGTAATATGAGGTATCATTAAGGAATTGAGATATGTGGAAATTTGCATATTTTGATTTCTGCTTGACTGCTAGTCCACATTTAATTTGGTTTGATATTCCAGAGATAAGCATTTCAATGTATCAGATGGGATTTAGAAATGATGAACTGGCAATATAGTTCAGAATTGTTGAATCCATAAGGTTAGTATCTTTTAACTTTATTGATACTAAAACTTGTTCAAAAATAAGTTTGCGTGAAGCTATATAGACTGCTGCTTAGTTGATGAAGTGTGTAAGAAAGCCAAAGATATAAACAGCTGAGGAAGATATTGTGTGTCCCTTAATGTCTATAGAATTATAATCTTCTCAACAGGAAATAAAACAGTAATATCTTTTGATACCTGCCAAGCTTTCCTTTTCATTTTCTTTGCTTCCTACTCCTTTAACTGTTACTTTTTCTTTCCCTCACTTCTGAAGTAAATGATATTCAGTATAAGCTTTTGCTTTCAATGTCTCTGCAACTTGCAGGCTGTTGACTGAAATTCCTTATTTTACCTGTGAATATTTTTAATCTGAAATCTTGTTTCAAATCAATTTTGATTTTGCTTAGTAGTCTTTACCTTTCAATATTGAAAAATTTTCCATTAGGTTTTGAGTGAAGATACAGACTTTAGCACTGGAAAAGCAAATATAATGAAACAACAGAAAGTAAAAAAATATAACAAATTATTTGTTCTAAGGGTACAAATCCACTTCTGATGAGCTGTTTAAGTCCCTTCTTTCTGAATTAACCTTTCATTTCTCACAGTTCCTCTCTGGACCTGATTCAGCTAAGGGTTTTTAAAAGACTTTCCATTTAAAAATAATCCCTAAAATAGGTATTTCACAATCCCACTTTTCCGAAGGTTAAATGCAAAGAAAATTACAAAGAAGTCTCATTAATTTTTCATAAAATCATAGAATAAGTTGGAAGGAATTTCAAGGATCATGTGGTCCTTTCTTGGCATAATCACAGTCTAGACAAGATGGCCCAGCACTCTGTCCACACAAATCTTTAAAGTTTCCAGAGATTGTTTCAAAGGCTCGTTGTTCTCATTACAAAACATTTTCCTCTTGAATCTCATCTGAATGGCCCCAAGAGTAGCTTGTACCCGTTACCTCTTGCCTTTTCCTTGCAACTCCTTGTCAAAAGGGAGTAGCCACCTCTTTGTAGCCACTCTTGAAATATTGGAACATAATGATAAAGTCTTGTGTAAGCTTGCCTTTCTCAAGGCTGAACAAACCCAGTTCTTTCAGCCTTTTTTCACATGGCAGGCTTCCCAGTCCAACTGGTGGAAAGAAATATTTTTCTCTCTTAGTGGAAGAAAGAAGGAAGCTTGTGGAGTAGGAAGCAGGTTATGATCATTAACAAATTGTTTTTTTCATTACATGGGTAAATGGAATACTGAACAGCAGCACAGGAAAAATACAAAAGAAATTGGCTCACTAAAATATTTAAAGAGTTTGATCAAATCAGTTACACCATTTCCCTCCCCACGACCACTTTCTCACTCACCCTCTGTGGGATGGGGAAGAGAAGCAGAGCAGAAAAGTGAGAAAAATCATGGGTTAAGATAAAGACAGTTTAATAGACAAGGCAAAAGCCACAAATGCAAGCAAAATGAGGAATTTATTCACTGCTGCCTATGGCCAGGCAGGTGTTCAGCCATCTCCAGGAAAACCAGGCTCCGTCATGCAAAATGGTTACTTGGGAAGGCAAACACCACTCTGAATCTTTCTGCTTCCTCCTCCTTCTTCTTTCAGCTTTATACAGTGATCATGACAACATAGGGTAGGATTTATCCCTTTGGTCAGTGGGGTTCAGCTGTCCTGACTGTGTTCCCTCCCAGCTTCCTTGCTGGTGGGATGGGATGAGGAGCGGAAAAGGCCTTGATGCAAGCCTTGCTTAGCAATAACTGAAATGACCCTGTGTTATCAACACTCTTTCTAGCAAAAATCCAAAACATAGCCCTAGCTACTATGATGAAATTTAAATTTATTCCGGCCAAAACCAGTACAGGTTTTCCTCCAGTGATGATAAACTGAGAAGCTGGGGTTTAACTGTGTAAGTTATGCTAACTATGCGAAAGTTCTGAATAGTGTAGGTATGATGTATCACTAGATGATCTTTAAAGGTCCCATCGAACCCAAATGATTCCTTAAATCTATGATCTTTATATAAACCCCCAAATTTAATTTCAGAACACAAAAGATCTCCTGATCTGAGTTTGAGGTCTTTGGCTACCTGATTTCCCTCAAGGTAATGTAATTCCTTGGTGAAAATTCTATGAAATAGGGTCCATCTAGGTTTCCCTTAGCAGTGTAAGCCTTGAATTTTTAATCTGACAGGCAGTGAGGGGATGTTTAAAATGTGTATTTTAATTTGTTATAGAAAAACTGTGTAATTTAGTACTCAAAAACTAGATGTAAGAAAAGAGTAGTTATCTAAGAATATAATCTGAATTATTTTCTTATT